ATGCAATCACAAATGACCAAAATGACTAGAGTACAACACACATATTTTTTAAAAAGTAAACCCTGCATTTGGTCAGGGAAAGAATCCCTGTTTGGCAGACAGTTTAATGAGTCCTTTAGCCATAGCTTGATGATTAAGACTGTGTTGCATTGGACACACAAACAGACAATATAAGCTCTTTGTTACTTCTGAATGTTGCAAAACATCCTCTGTAAAGTTATAACATTTGATCTTTTAATGCAGAATGAATTTCCTGAGATTCTAGAGCCAAATCTCTAAACAACTCAAATTAAAGTTAATTTTAAATGGACTTGTTAATCTTTTTATCTGGCATACCTTTTGTCACAAATGATTTAAAAATGTGAAACCTTCAACTTTCCATAATTAAAAACTCACTGAATTTTTTAACTAGCCTAAGGAATAAGACTATAATTAAAATAATTTATTGACTTATAGCAACTCATCTTCATTCTAAGACAAAGCTGAAATCCAGTATGTCTGCTTTAGGCTGTAAAGTGAAATTTAGGCAGAATTTAGAAGCCTAAATCCAGAAGGCAATTTAGGGGCTCTTTCTGCAACAACTATGCAATACTTAAATGTGTATAACTCAGTGGGCAAAATCATGCTCTAAGATTTTCATGGTTGCCAGCATACAACCACAGTGCTCTGTCTCCACTCTCTCTTGTGTGCTAAAACCACAAGGGACTCATTCTGAAGGATTTGCTTTAGCCTACTTATCACACATGGACAGCACAAAGCACAGGAGCCAAAGTTCTTCTTCCTTGCAATCAGAGTCCACCTCGTGTAGCCGCAGTGTCCTCTCAGCATGTGAGAACTCAGTCTCTTCCTTAACCTGAGAGAAGTCAAATCCACATCTTCTGATTTCCTAATGTGCTCTAACCACTAGATAATGGTGAAAGGCCTTCCATGCATGTCCTGATGGAACTGAGCCGTTAGTGCTCTGTCACCAACCAAAATCCCTAGTGCCAGGAGGAGAGCACTTGCTTCTGCAGTCTGACAGTTTGGGCTGTGAGGTGGGAGGAATGAATCCTGGGATCTCTTTCCTGGGCTGCTCATTACAAATTTATTCATTTTGTTCATCTTGCCATATTTTGCAGTGGAAAATATGGATCTTCTTTAACTGCTTCAAGCCATTGCAGTTTCCAGTGAATAGCTCTGGTAACTCCACATGCTCTTCTCTTGTGCATTACTGTCTTTGACACTTCAGCTTTTCTTCTTTGCTCAGTAAAGACTCTGGACACCAAACACAGGGATGGTGTTTCCACCAGATGGCAGGGCTGTTAAATGATAGGTATTCAAATGCTATATGTTTTTGTGGGTCTAGCCCAAATGCTATGTTGCCCATGTCTGATTGACCATTGACTTTGAGTAGGAAAATCCTGGTCTACAGTTGGTACCATCTCTACCCCTTAATGTTTGAAGTTGTTTGTTCAGTGTTCGTTGTAAAGATCAGTAGTCTTAAAGTAATTACTTCCTACACACCTCATTTACCCTTCACAAAATACCTGTTTGAGATATAGAATAATAATGAAGAAACACAGCTTGCTGTTTTACATTGTGCTTCATGTAAAATTATTCAGCAAATCTTTTCTATAATGAATATGTATAATAAATCTTTAGGTTGTCACAGGTCTAATCATGAATGGAAAAGGGAAAAGATATCATGTTATTCAAATAGATCTAATTAAATTAATTGATTCATTTAAAGCTCTGCCATTTCCTCGTGCATTTTCCCCCATTTCATTTCCACTGCATTTCCACCGCATTTCCACAGCATGTCCCTCATCCAGGTTGAAATATAAACTTTTTCCATCTTACTTGCCAGATCAATCTCATAATGAATAAAGATTTGAGATATTTTTCCATCCTTGTTTAAAAGATACAATAAAAAATGTACACTTATTTGTGGACTGGACCAACATTTATCCACTGGAAAATGAGCTGTATAGTGAAACGGCTGACCTAACATTAATTTACAGCTTGCATAAGCAGAGTTGGGATAATAAAGCTTCTTCAGTGCCTATAAGCTATAAATAGGATGCATTTGTCAATTGCCTTGCCCAGGCAAATTGTACTTGCTTTTCACCCTGCACCTGTGTGCCTTTATGTTTCTTAGAATAGCAGTGGCGTTGTCTCTATTCAAATACTTTGTCCATCTTTCAAAACTGAAAATTCCTTCATACTTCATTAGAGTCATGCTATCAAACTTTTGTCACTTGAGCGCATCCAATAACACAGAGCTTCACAATTTCTGTTTTCTTATAAGTATAGTTAACCACCAGTGTTCAGGCATGTCTTTGATTATTTATCTCTGAAACTCTTTCATATGAAACTCTTGAAATGACAGTCTAACACAGCTTGCTTTTTTGTATATTCCAGCACCTCTCTGAGAAGCATGCCTAATACAGGTTCATGAAATGCCTAAAATTAAGATGCAAACAAGGTGTCTAAACTGGGAAGACTGGATTCCAATCTACCTGTTTTCTAAACTGTGTTATGCCCATAATTTAAAGCCACAAAAATCTATAGAAATAGGCCACAGTAAGCCGCCATGCCTCCCAAACTATAAGCCTGTTCTATAGGATAAAACTGCCTGACCTGTCTTTCTTGATAAATCATTTCCAATTACAAACTTTTCATTTGTCTTCTAATCTTTCCTACCCACACTGAAAAAAAAAAAAGAAAAAAAAAAAGTTAATGTGTTTTGATACACAAGAAGTCTCTGATATCCCTCTAACAATATCTCTTGAACATTTCATTTTCCTTTGAGTCGCTGAGATGCCCTGTTGCATTTTGTGTAAACATAAAAGCAAAGAGGTTTTTGATTTCATAGTGGTGTGCAATTGGGATCGCACCAAAATATACTTTAATGAAGTCTTTCAAACACTTTCCATTTTTCTTCATTTTTTCTTAAAAATGCAGAATTTACAACTGTACTTGATATTATAATACCTTTTATTAAGATTTAGGTTAATAAAGTATCTTTGAAGTATCAACCAACCAGAAATTAAGCAGATTCCCCATCAATCTTCAGGCATCTCCATGTAAGGGCTCATTCCTTCTCTGACAGTGCATGTGAAAGGTCTGACTTGCACAGGACACATTTGAAGCAGCAGTGTAAAGCCTGTGTAAGCGTCTGTACCCAGGTACCTGCTGTTCCATGAAGGAACAGCAGGAGCCACAGGCAATAGCAGTGTCTTCTACCCAGGGAACCTCATTGCCCATGAGTGACAAAAATGGCCTTCATGTCACTCAGGCCTCCTTGCAACCAGAACCAACCACATGCGTAGTGTCTCATGAGCATTTAAGGGCACTGCACATCAATTCCTTTATCATGGTAACTAACGTGCAGCCGTCTCTCATTATGACAAGGAGTATAAATGCAACCTTGACAAGAGTAGCCATACTTCTCATCTGAGCCCTTTGTGTGAGGTGAAATACGAGCATTTTAGTCATGTCATAGGTGCCTCTTATACATACCCCTGTGGGGTCCTTAAGAAGGAAGGTAGCAAGGTAAGAGCCATGGGCCGTTAGCTGTTATGGTGGGTTTGGTTCACACTCCCTAGATAGGCCCCTTCTGCTACAGAATACCCCCAAGCAAATTGCTCTCAGTACCTGCTCTAGGTGCTGCTGTACTGCATCGGTGCTAAGTAGGTCTTAAAGGACGGTGAGATGGACTTCATAGCTTCATGGACTTGTGCTGTCGTGAGGGCTTCAAACTGACTTGAACAAAATAAATAATCATTGGAACAGAAAACTTAAATGGGAGGGAACAGTTTCTCCTAGGTGGACTATGAATCTAATACAGAACTGGTTGGCTACTTCAAGATGAATTTATAAATAGTTTCAGGCCAACTGAAACTACATTTTAAGTTGTTAATGTATTCTCTGGAGGAAGACAAGGGCCAGCCCCTTGTTCTAAGGGTAACACCTACCTACCATAAGTAGCATTACTAATTCTAAGCAGCAAAACAGGTTATAGTTTCTTGGCTATGGCTATTTGGGTATTTACATTTAGGGGCAAAACCTACTCCTGCAGCTGCTATTTGCTCTGTGTAAAGGAGTATTTTGTGAATACAACAGTACTATATGACAACAGTTTTAAGACCAAGTTGTTAGAAATATGGACTACTCATCACTGTAGGCAGTCTGTTTTGTGTGTTTCAGAGGATTGTGTTCATGTACCTTTGCTGACATAGGGGAGTTTTTCCATTCGTTTCATTTTTGGCACCTGCTTCATACAACTACAGTTCCAAGACTTTCAGACATGAGACTGAAATAAGGCAATTCTAAATCATTCATTTTCTTTAGTTGCAGAGTAAAGAATGGTAAATGGGGAGCGGGGACAGCAAGTTAAGCACAAAGTTTTAAACCCTTTCGGAGGACAAGGTTGCTTCAAATCATTAACAGTGGTGTTTGATCTGTTTTCTTTCAGCTGTAGTACAAATGAGAGCAGCTTTCCCTCAGCAAAAGCGTAGAACTTGAGTGTTTACCCACATGCATCTATTTATTTCGTTAATTGTAACTATTAGAATGGGAGCACTCACAGCCACTCACCATCTAAAATGCCTAAGCCAGGGCACACTGTAGCAGTCTCAGGATTTCTGTTCATCATCCCACTAGAATGCGTGGATAAGCTTATAATGCTCCATGGTGCCCTTTGCAAATAATGGATGGAGAGCAGAAGGTGGTTCCCTCCTCACATGGGGCTTGGCAATATAAAACACCTCTCATGAGTTCAAGGGAAGATTATTTTGCTGGAAGTCATTATTGTTTATACGTTATTATACATTTCACTGAGCTCTTTACAAAGGAGATAAGAAACAGGACCTGAATCTGCCCTGCCCACAGGTTTACATCCATGATAAAAGAGGATCCTGTGTGAAGTATCATTCAATATGGATGTTGCAGTTTTACACTGCCAGGAGAATTAACTTTATCCACCTTTTTTATTATTATTATTTCCTTCTCACTAACAGGTTATTCATCAGCTTAGACTTTCAGAGAATGAGAGTGTGGCTCTGCAAGAGCTTCTAGATTGGAGGAGAAAGCTGTGTGAAGAGAGAGAAGACTGGCAGCAAATCTTGCACAACACTGAGCAAAGAATCACAGCCCCACCTCCACCCCCTTGTAAAAAGCCAACGCTGCTGAAGAAGGTAGAAGATACCTCCTGCAACAGACTCTCTTCGGGCATATGGGATACCACCATGTGATTCAGATGTGTGTGTTTGCAGACTGCTAGGAATTAAACCATCTAATGACTTCAATCTGCACAATCAGCAAGTTGTCTTCCCTTCACAAAGTGTGCAGGGATTTTTTATAAGCACTCATTCAAGAGCACAGGATGGAGGAGCTATTTAGATCTGTCGTGTGTGCGTGTACATGTGTGTTTGTTCTTTTCATATATATACACATACGCATATATGTGTGCATCTGTGAGTATATATATGTATGTGTGTGTATATATATGGAGACAAACTGCACTATAAGTACTTAGTTTAAAAGTACAAGGCAGTCACTTAGAGCTCTCCCATGGACATGAAGAAACTATGTTAAGCAAATGATGATGGGGAGAAGTGACTGACAGGCATTTTAGAGAGATCAGGAAAGTCTGTGTGCACACTGTACAGCTGTTTTATATAGTACAAAAGTATGATGTTTCTTGTTCCCTAATGAATGTTTTTATTATATTACATGTATACATATACATATTTCTTTGTAGATGTCTGTGTTCTATTGGCGTTGCGAACCTGAAGATTATTTACATGTTTATTACTGGTGTTTTATAACTTTATGCAATTGGTGCTGTCGTTCTTTCTTCAAAATACAGGTAATAAATTCAGTACTCACATTTTTCTTTCATAGTTTATCTTTAACAACATACCAAACAGTTTCAACACTGTGTTGTTTTTTCAGAACTGGCAATAACCTTCCTAAAATCCAATCCTGAAATTCTCGCAAAGCTCCTATATACAGGTGTGATTTGCTGCTGTTCACAGTCATGAATGAGAGAGCATGACTTCTTTTCAGTGGACCTGCATTTCTGAATGTGTGAACTGTGAATTCTGCAGTTACACCTCAAATCTCATTTCATTCTGGGTTATGTAAAATAATGAGGCACTCAGATTATAAGTATGGTTTGAAATTCATACCTGATTATGCGTAAGGTCAGGTGTCAGTGGAAAGATACATAACGGTAATGAGGTATGAAAATAGGGCTGTGATTTACTGTTACAAGCCAGAAGGCTTTATGGAGATGGGTATATCAAAGGATTATGTCCTTATGGTGGTACAGTGATGCATTTATACCTCAAATTTCAAGTAATGAAATGGTTTCAGAAATTGGAGCATTCTAGTTGGCGAACATGAGTTCTGAGCAGTAATGTTAATTTATGAAAAACATGCTGCTGGAAACTTGTTAGCTACTGCTCAGCAGTCTTTGAAATACTGCTTTGCCACTAAAAGGTGTAATTTGTATATATACATGGGTATTTTGTCAGGGGCCACTTATTTTAAGTTCTTGGAGTATGTAGAGTCAGTGCGAAACACTCTTCTTGGCTGTTTGCCCCATTCCTATTGGGATCCAGGAAAAAGTGCTTTTAATTTTGCAGGTGGATGTAAAAGTAATATTTTCAAATGTAAGCTAGGTTTAAAAAGGTGAGCTCACCCTTGGTTGAAAGTTTTTGGGAAAGGAGAAAAACCTGCTTAGAGATGTAGGTTTTTCCATCGTGTTTGACAGAAGCTTCAAGAAGGCTGAATGGCAAAAAGCAATCACATACTTGCTTGTTTGTTTTAACAGGGAAGCAGCAAAACTCAAGTTGTTCCCAAGAGTATCATCAAGCTGTAGGCAGAATTAAGCACCTTTAAAACATTATTAAAACAGACTTTTTGAGTGAACAAGGAAGGGAAGACAACAGGTTAGCTCAGAATTTTACCTTGTTACCACTGTTAGCTTCACAGAAGTCCTCTCTGCAAGATTACCCATTTCTATTTCATGAAGAAGCAGGGACTCTAGACTCTGAATCTTACCTTCAGCGGATGTAAATGGCCATTGATCATGACTCTGCCCAGGAGGGGCAGATGACCACTGTGAGGTTATGCAGAAAACAACTCTCACCCACTAAACAATTATGTCAGAACGAGGCTTTGCCTGGAAGAATTGAGGTTTCTGCCTTTTCGCTCAGATAACCAGGGACACACAGAGATCCCTGTGTGAGAGCGAAATGAAATGGCTCCAGAACTGGATGCAAGAGAGCTAATTAACCTGACCTTGCAACTACATTGCTTCCAGGGTGCAAGTTGCTATCCCTACATGGCACAGCATTGCTATACATAGCCATTAACAACATCTACCCAGCTAGCTTAGCCATCCTGAACACCTCACTGCACTGAGACATGCAGACATGCCCTCAGGCTCATCGTTCCTCAAACGGGCCTGGCAAACAGCCCTCTCATAAACTCTATCATACTGCTAACTCTAATGCCCACTAGCTGGCTTCGTGACTGGTAGCAATCAATTTACAGCAGCCTGGATGTTTAGGGCAAGCTGTAAAAACTGACTGAGAAGCCAGTTTAGGTCATGCCAAGATCCCAGCTGTAGCAGTGAACTTGCTACCAGTCACTGACCTAGCTGTTTGTAAGGTGAGCTTGTGTATCTCCAGACGACACTGTTGTCATTGCTGCTCTTGCAATGCGAGAATACCCAGAAGGGAGAGAATACATTCGTCAAGTGGAGTTTAAAATGGAGTTTAAAATGGGAAAGAGAATGCATTATACTATTTGCAATCCCTACTAAAAGTTGTCTTAGAGCAGTGATCAGCCGCAGGAGCCCAAATGGGGTTAAGGAACCTTTTTGCTACTCTTTCAAAGTATTGTGCTCTATTACGGCAGTATGAACCAAGTGTGGAAAAAAGGTGTGTAGATTTTCTAGTAGTTTCATCAATACAGTTACACAGGAGAAGCCAGTACAAACCTGATTCAGGCAATTTGATTCTCCAGACAGAGGGCAAAGCAGATTATTCACCCCCTGTGCAGAAGGTCTTTGTTCTATTTTTTGCAAACTTGGGTAAGACATATATTTTCTGGGGCTCTTCCTTAAAGCATGTAACCACAGTGCAATATGACAAACTAAATAGCAGAAGATATAAGACTTTTTTTTTTTTCAATTTTGTTATTCATTCCAGGTTATGTAATGGTTAACTTTTTACTTGGGAAGATTTTTTTAGGATATTTCATTAAATTATAGTACTATAGGAATAAAGTATTTGTGTTAAAACATGTTTTAAATATTTCTCTAATGGCAGTAAGACACTCCAGAGTGTGACTTATGATGTCATAATTCACACCTAGTGTGTTCATTGGTCCCTTGGCCTTTGGCCTCATGCCTAACAATGCAGTTGGTAGGGAATTATTATACCATAATTCACACCCTACTGTGTCTTATTGCTTAAATACCCATACCCCCAGAGGTGTCTTAAAACTACCATTAAAGTTTATATTGTGTATCAAAATGTGTTTACAGGGCTGGGAAAATATACTATTGACATTTTGAAATGTTGAGAAGTAGTTTTAGCAGAACTGTACAGTGCTCGTAAATTAATCTCCCCAGTGGAGTATGCACCAGCCAATTATAGTATTTCTTGAGTATATGAAGTCCTCTCTTGCACATTAAAAAATAGCTTAGACAAAAAAAAAAAGCCTTATGAATTTAATATTCTAAAGGGAAAGATTAAACTCTATGAGCATGCTAATGCCCTTAATATCCAATGAACAATCTAAAATATATTTATATTTGCAATAAAGCAATTTCAGGAAGCTGGGGTTATCATCAGATAATCACTCCTCCACATTGTGCCTTATTGCTTAATTTTTAATATGTGAAACAAACAGAACTTCTAACAAATCAGCCTGTCCTTCAGTATAAGGTAAGAAGAATGAGAAGTGTTTTACACTTGGTCTTAAAGCCAAGGGAATTCTAAAACCATATTAAACCACAATAAAAGAAAAACAACAGCTGTTGGCATGAGAAATGTTTAAAGCTTGTAAACCTTACTTGTTACTCCTGAAATAGCACTTGGTGGTTTTTAGTTGCTGTAGTTACATTCCTATTGCAGATTATAAGCAAAACTTTGCTTTTAAAAACTGATTTAGACGTTCAGAGAAATACATGCACCGATATTTTACAAAAGATCTGTGTACAGCATGAAGTGATAAGCCTTTTAAAAATTTGTATTGTTTACAAAACAATAGTATGATTGTTGAATAAGTGAATTACATTTCCCTTTTTGCCAGTGATCCTTTTTATTCCTTCTAAAAGGTTGACTTATTTTCATTAATAACTTTATTATATTGCAGATCCTTTGTGTGTGGGACAAAGAATTTCATTAACTTGCTAAGAAAGCGTAATAGATTGTAGCATAGTTCTAAAGTGATAGTAATAGCCATTTTCATTGTAGTTTTTAATTCTGCTTTATAGTATTGAGATCCCTAGTAATCCCGTTATTCTTATCTCTATAAAGCCTGCTAATATCTGAAATGCTCATATCTGAAATGCTCTGAGGAATCTAAAATAAGTTTTGCCATTCGCTTGTTAAATAATAAATGTAATTAAACTCTGTACAAGTCAGTTTTCCAGAATGGTAGTAAACATTTCATGGCTTTGTGTTCTAAATATACAGTTTTTAAAAAGAAAACACCACCTGAGCATAACTATTTGACAGTATCTGAACAAAACAGAAGGGTGTATAAGGAAATGCTTTTCTTCCAGTTTTGCTGTTCTCTGTATACTCAGGATTTTCATTTTGAGAAGAAATAAATAAATCCCAGTGCTGGCTTATTCTGTGGCTGTGAGAATTAGATCATTAGCAAAGACTGCCTGTCCTTCCACCTGTGGTTTGGCCATTTCCCTGACCATATGAATGTATGCTGGATCTGGCTGAATCATGGATTTTGCTGTGAAGTGTTTTAGGCAAAAATTTTGTCAAGTCATGATTTGACTTATTGAGGATTTATTACAGTAGAGAAAAAAAAATAAATCTGGAATTAGCTAGAAGTATTTAATTCAACCTTAAGTAACTTGTTTTGGTTCTTATATATGTGAATAAAATCCCCTCTTAGCCCCTTCTTATTTCCTTTCCTGTCAACTTAGGTTACTTTTCAAACAAACTTTTATAATGAAAAAAAAAAGTGGTTAAGTGACATTACAGCATAACAT